GGATTCCTATACTAAATAGGAGAAATATGATTACCAAGCATAAGATTTGATTTTCCAAACTAAATAAAAAAATAATAAAAATACCATAAAAAATTATTTTCTAAACTAAAATGAAAAAATTAACTAAGAAAAAAAATTGTTTTTTCCTAAAATGTGTTTGGTAAACTCGCCCTTACACATTTTTTCATAGTCTTATTATCTTTTTTTTTTTCGCCTAACATGCCTTAGTTTGATTTTTATTAAATTTTAAATTTTAGGAGAACTATTTTGAAATTAATTTTGGATTTTTATACCATTTTTACCCTTTTATATTTAATATTTTAAATTATAAACTTATATGTAAGATATTTTTTTTATATTAAATAAACTAGTTTTAAAAAATAGAAAAACAACAAAAACAAATCCTTCTTAAAAAATATATATATTTATGTTTTCAATTGCATATGGTCAAATTCTATGATAATTTTCACACATATTTTTTTCTCTAAAATATATAATATTTTCTTCATTTATTTAAGAAAAATCAATTAATGAATTTTACAACTAGTTTGTAAATAATTTGTTTATTTTTAATATCAAGATTTATAAACTTACATGTAAAATGTATTCTCAATATTGAAAAAGAAAAATTAAGTTCAAAATAAATAAAATAACCCCCCTCTCTCTTTTTACTTTTAAGATTTGTGAATTACAAACTTATACATAAGACATATTTCTAATACTAAAAAAAAATATAAAATATATTTTGGTTTTATAATGGCTAGGTTTGATCCATAAAGCTATGATCCACTTTACTAAGATGGATATGCTTTAACCAATAAACAAATTAATGATTACAAAAATACAATAGAGCCTTAATAATAATTAAACAAATTAATAATATAATTTATCTTAGGTAGCGTGTATTAAAAGTTATATTATTTTTCATATACATAATTAGTCCTTTTATCCAAACTTTGTAAACTAGTTGAGATTCATAGTAACCAAAATACTAAGTAATGGCTTCAAATCTTTAAACCATAAAAGAACTATGAATATCTTATTCTTTCCTAATCTAAATTTAATCCATAAAGATGTTTGTTGTGACATCATATGCGTATAACAAAGAGAGAAAGTGAAAAAAGAGAGAGGAAAAAAAAGAAAAAGAAAAAGGGAGACAACGACTAGGATAATTTTTCACACACCATCATCTCCTCCCTCCAAGTATTTTAAGTAACCGTGTTTGAAAGACTTAACTAGTAAAAGCATGGAAAATAAAATACTTATGATTTTATATAAGTGATGTAATTTTTTATAACTTTTGTTATCATATCTAGATGAGAGGTGAGAGTTTGCCTAGAAGAGAGATAAGAGTATGATAAATTTGTTTGTTCCAATAAAGGTAAAGAATATTATTATTTAGAAAGTGAAGAATACAAAGCATTATGTAAAGACTTAAATATATAACTTCTAATACAAAGCATTTTTATTGGAGTTATAGAGATTTTAATGGAGACATGAAAATCTCATTATGGATATTTTATTGGAGATATGAAAATTTTCATAGCTACCTAAGTCTTTAAATAATCATGTTTGAAAGACTTAAATAGTAAAAGCATGGGGAATAAAATACTTATGATTTTACACAAGTGATGTTACTTCTTTTTATAGCTTTTGTTATCATATCTAGATGAGAGGTGAGAGTTTGCCTAGAAGAGAGCTAAGAGTATAATAAATTTGTTTATTCCAATAAAGGTAAAGAACATTATTATTTAAAAAGTGAAGAATACAAAGCATTATGTAAAGACTTAAATATATAACTTCTAATACAAAGCATTTTTATTGGAGTTATAGAGATTTTAATGGAGACATGAAAATCTCATTATGGATATTTTATTGGAGACATGAAAATTGTCATAGCTACCTAAGTCTTTAAATAATCATGTTTGAAAGACTTAAATAGTAAAAGCATGGGGAATAAAATACTTATGATTTTACACAAGTGATGTTACTTCTTTTTATAGCTTTTGTTATCATATCTAGATGAGAGGTGAGAGTTTGCCTAGAAGAGAGCTAAGAGTATAATAAATTTGTTTATTCCAATAAAGGTAAAGAACATTATTATTTAAAAAGTGAAGAATACAAAGCATTATGTAAAGAGATGTTACGTTGATAGAATATATAACCTCTAATACAAAGCATTTTTATTGGAGTTATAGAGATTTTAATGGAGACATGAAAATCTCATTATGGATATTTTATTGGAGATATGAAAATTTTCATAGCTACCTAAGTCTTTAAATAATCATGTTTGAAAGACTTAAATAGTAAAAGCATGGGGAATAAAATACTTATGATTTTACACAAGTGATGTTACTTCTTTTTATAGCTTTTGTTATCATATCTAGATGAGAGGTGAGAGTTTGCCTAGAAGAGAGATAAGAGTATGATAAATTTGTTTGTTCCAATAAAGGTAAAGAATATTATTATTTAGAAAGTGAAGAATACAAAGCATTATGTAAAGAGATGTTACGTTGATAGAATATATAACCTCTAATACAAAGCATTTTTATTAGAGTTATAAAGATTTTAATAAAGACATGAAAATCTCATTATGGATATTTTATTGGAGACATGAAAATTGTCATAGCTACCTAAGTCTTTAAATAATCATGTTTGAAAGACTTAACTCTTTACTGTCTGCTTAAATAACAAAGTCATGATACTTTGTTTTTCATTCATCAAATTCTCATATTTTATCCGAGCTGTATTGTGACTACTATTAGACTTTCCAATATGAAGATAAAATCTTTTCCTTTTTTTTTTTTCTAATTCGAAAACTCATCACCCACAAATGAATTAACACCCTTTTTTTACTTGAAAAGGTAATAATACAAGCAAAATACAACATCTTTGACTATGTTGTACTCTAACTATGTTGGGTATGCACTAAACCAAACCAGATTAAAGCATTGTAATGTTGATATATTTTCAAATTATTTTTGCGGAAAATCACAATGCATCTCTATCATCTATATGGTATTCATAAATTAATCTTCTTAGATAAAGGTCAACGAGGAGAGTGTCGCGGTTAATTTCAATATGACTTTTTTTTTTAACTTGATTGAGTTACATGACTTGAAACTTTGATTAACTCTTCATCTTGAAGGGATTTACACTTGAAATACTTATCTAGTGACATGTTAATTTAATATGAACCTGTAGGGTTTTTTTATCATCATTAGTGTCTATATAATAATTAACACAACTACATAATAATTTAGTGTTAAACAAAAGTCAATTGAATTACACAATAATTCTAAATCTTCCATATGAAATTAATTGCAAAATACACATCAATTCATCAAAATCAAAACTTATTTCAATTCATATCTATATGCATATAATATGTTGATTAAATTATACTTAATTATTTCTAGACATTTAATTGAGGAATAATACATGAAAAACATATTTTTCACTTGATATTTTACTTACAAACAAATCATGTGAAAATATTAAATTTCAATAAACTATTCTGTCAATGCAAGAGATGTCAAGAATAGTGGTTTTGCATGAATATTAAATGCATTCCTTTATAATAAAAAAGAAACACTTAATTGATTAAATTAGTAGATTTAAATATTTATTTTGAATATATTTGAACATATTCATATCAAAATATCTAAATTATCATAAATCCTAATATTTTTAATAAGTAATTATAAAAGAATAAAACTAAAATTACACAATTAAAAAAATAAAAAAGATGAAAAAAATTTACTTAAAGTATAAAAAAAAATGATTAATTGCTTAACTATAATTGATGAAAAATTTATATATGGGAAAGGCAGGTTATAACATCTGCTCATAAAAATAATAAAAAAAACCTTTTTGTTAGTCAGAAGAAGATAAAAAAATAACAAGGAAAAGAGAAAAAAATTATATATATGTATATATATATATATATTAACATATAAGTCAACAATAATAAACAATAAAAAAAATTTATATAACAATAATTCACTAAACTAATATATTAATATTTTAATATAGAAAGTATTAAAAAAATTAAGTTGGCAATTACTTTTTTTATCTCTCTATAACCCCACCACCTTTTATTAGCACTTGTGGTAATATAATTGATTTAGTTTTTGTTTAGTATTATGGTAAATAGTGTTTTGAAAAAGATTTTTTAATTAAAAAACATATTTAAATCATTGAAAAACATTAAAAAATATTAATTTAATATTGTTTTCATATAAAAAATAATTTAAAAAGCATTTAAAGCAGAAAGTATCACAATAACAAACACCCGGATTCAAGACTTGATTACTTTTTTTCTCTTGTTTTTGCTCATGATAACATATTTAGTTTAGTCTTTCAAGTCGGTTTCTTATGTCAAGTATTTTACTAACATTTCATTTTAATCTCAGATTTCTCACGATCTTGTGTTTGAAAAATCGATTTGTGCTAATATTTTTTTTTCAATCTAGACCTCAGTCTTCCAGCTAAAAACTGGACTGTACGTACCTAGTCAGAAACAGGAAGCATGTTTCTTTCCGTTTTTTAATAAGAAATCGGAAACTATCATAGCAATTTCTTAATCATCTTAACATTTTCCCTGATCCATATATGATAAATTAATGCAAAAATGGTAACCAGAACGTCAACTGCAAGCTATGACTGAATCAAAGTTTGAAATTTGTATATTGCTCCTGTACATGGTGAATAGAAAAGTCTTGCAAATTTGGCAGATAAAATAAATCCAGGAAAGGCATGGCCCAGCCAAGAATTCCATGTAAAATGCTTTGAATCTTTGAATGGAAGAAACATCGATAGACAAGTGGAACACCAAGAAGATAGCTACGCAAACTTGGATACACTGTAGAGCTACAGCCTTATATATATGGTCATCAGGCCGGCCAGGGCGGCAGAGGGTCCCTCTCTTGCATTCCGGTTCTCTCTTTGCCGCCAAAATTCAAAGCTAATTAAATTATAATGGAATCCTTGTTTTGTTTTCCTGGTGAAATAGAAAAATCAGAGAGTGGAAACTGAATACAGAAGTTTGTCTCTTCTTGCTTCAATCACCAATCATTTACAAGGGCCGTCCCGTTCTTTTTTTCTTTTAAAGAAGAATGAATTAAATCCTTGTGAGGGAGTGAGTATTTTTGGTTTGAGTCTAGCAGAATTTCGTTTGTGATAATTCTTGAGAAATCGTGATCATAAGTCGTTCTTATGGTGTCGTAGTGGTGTTGTTCTGGGTGGTTTGCTGTCAAAATTAATATTTACAATAACTTTTAACATGGCAACCACCACAGCGTCCCAAATCCTCCACCACACCACTGCCTTCCTCTCCGAAACCCTCTCCCAACGTCATGACCACCGCCACCATCTTCTCTCCACTCTCCGCCGCGAAGCCCCATCATCCAACAAAATCACCACCATCAAACCTCTGAATTTAGCAGTTGAGAATCTCGAAAACGCCATCTCTACTACCAATCCTTCCATTCGATCATCTTCTCTACGCCTCGCCCAAAAGGTTCTCCTCTCGTATCCGGATTCCCTCCTTTCCTCCTTGCTTCTCTCTCTCATCTACACCCTCGACAACCGGCCCACCAATGCCTCCATAAGTCTCCTTAACATCTTCCATCTAGACCCTTCATTGGCTCGATCACAGATTGCTCCTGTTCTTTTTGAGGAGCTGTTTTTAGTCCATCTTCTACCAGTTCTTCGATGGTTTAATGAGCAAAGATCAAGGATTTTGTCCTCTTTAACATTGGGTAGGGGTTATGATAGTGATGAAAATTCAAAAGGTGATGTTTCAATTGTTGTTCCTTGTACGAAATTGCTGTCAAAGATGAGTGGTGATCAGGCATTGGAGTTGAAGGAGTTAGAGAGCATATACGAGGAGGTTATTGATGAAAATTGCAAAGTTTTCGCCAAGTATTTTAAGGAGGTCGTAACCAACGGTGATGAAAATAGTATGATAACGCCACCATCGGTGATCTTGAAAGAGTTGGGGAAAGTTGATAGATCTGATGTGAGTGATGAAATAAGCAAGATGGAGGAACTCGGCTTTAAGAATAATGATAATGCCACCACCGGTGATCTTGAAAGAGCTGGGGAAAGTGGATAGATCTGATGTGAGTGATGAAATTAGCAAGATGGAGGAACTCGGCTTTAAGAATGGACGGTACAATGTAATGCTCCATTTTCCTTTTCATGGATTGTACATTTTCTTTGTCTGCTTTAAATTTTTACACCTTCTGCCTTTTCAAACTTTGACTAATTAGAGAAAGGGCTGGTAACTTTTCATTTCAGCAATTTCGTTCAAATTAATTTTACAAGAAACAAAATCTGTGTAAAAAAGATTATCGATGTTCCGAGTTCAATGAATCTCTTCGTTGTACATGTATGAGAGGTTCCAATGAACAGAGGAACCGCATGCTAGTCCTGGCACTTCTTTTATTTTAACTGACCAACATTATTACCCAAGTTACTGGTGTTAGCCTATCGCTTGCATGCACTATTTGTGCTGCTGCCGAGGGGAATTGAACCTGTAGCTTTCTAGTCACATTTTGTTTGATATTGTGAAGTTTAAACTCTCCATGTTATGTCTGTGTCAAGAATTTAATGATTTGATGTGCTTTTTTTTTTTTTTTTTGGGGGGGGGGGGGGGGGGGGGGGCAAAAATGGTTTGGGGGCGCAATAATGGTTTGATAAACAAAATCAAACTGGTCAAACTCCATGTTAGATTCGAAAAGTCGTGGAAAATTCCTCGAGCTACACGGATTCCCCCCTTCTTATTTCATCTATTACATTAGATATTGAGATTGTTTTTCAATTCAGCTTATAACATGGTAGCCGAATGAGTCAAACTTAAAGATGAGAGAAATGGGGAGAAATTATTGAGTTCTAATAATATAAAATTAATTGTATGAGCTGGTATGCCTAGCCCTTTTTGGAGTATTTGATTCCTGGACCACATGTTGAATTTAGCTCAATAATAAATGGTTGTAATAAAGGCATAAAACATTATCAATATATGATAGCGTGAAGAGGAAGTGAATTGTTTGCGTTCTTACATGTTAAATGCACCGGATTAGGGAAATTCCAACTTTAGGTAAGCCTCCTGTATGCAAAATCTTTGTGTATACAGTATGGTCGTTATTTTCTGGATTATTTGAATTATCCAAGCTCCAATTTGCAGAAAATGGTCTGTTGTCATAGCCTACTGGTTTTCCTGTCCCAAAAAGTTTCACTCGTTATTAATTGGCAATTACTGAATGAATGATTGGATATTTTAGCAGCATTTTTTACAAAGTCAAACTTTAGTTGAGGTCTTGACAATTCCTAGTTTAGTTACATTTTCTGATGTTATCAGTCTTTTTTTCCTCCTCTTTTTGCAGCCAATGTGGACTGAAGGAGAAAGATCTGTTGATTTCCTTAGTTTTAGCGGGGATTTGTATTCTTCACCATCCTATCCTCGAAGGGTCTCTCCAGAGAAGATAAAAAGTATCAGCTGTAGAAGATCGACAGCATTTCCCACATCGTTAAATTCTGATTCTGAGCCTGAGTTGTCTTTAGAAGACAATATGGCCTCTTCCGGTGCATCTTCTTCTTGTTGTTCGGAATCCGAAGCTGAAATTGAGGTAATCGATAACAACAAGGGGATAGATTCTCAACTCTGGATTGACTAACCTATGCCGTCGTTTCAGTTTTAAATCTTTGTGTGTCATGTCTTGTAGGAAAACAACAGAAAAATGGCATTGTTTGAGCCTACACAAAGCGAAACGCAAAAACAAAAGCAGGCTACCGTTGCAGATATCAGTAGGTATGTTTTGTGTGGAAAACCATTCATCATTGTAGTCTTCGCTTCAGTTTTATCACATTTGGACTCTCTCTGTCACCAGTACGTCTTCAGAACATTCAATGGCCGATACAGATAACTCACCTGGCGGAGGAAAACATACCCCTCCCAAGGACTTCGTCTGTCCGATAACAAGTCATATATTTGATGATCCAGTGACTCTAGAGACAGGACAGACTTATGAACGGAGGGCGATCCAAGAATGGCTTGAAAGAGGAAACTCAACATGCCCAATCACACGGCAGAAGTTGAATTGCACCCAGCTACCTAAAACAAACTATGTGCTCAAAAGGCTTATAGCAAGCTGGAAAGAACAGAATCCTGCAGGTTTGGTCTCCATTCCACCAGAAACTCAACAGAAGAAGACAGAGCCCAGCTTCATGTTAAAAGAAATTCCTTCAAGTACTTCACCAAATAGTGTCATTATCCAGACCACCATTGATGGCACAATCAGTGAGCTGAGACTTGCCATTACAAATCTTTGTATGTCAGAAATCTTGAACGAGTCCGAAATGGCTGTTCTTCAAATAGAGAGATTTTGGCTGGAGGCAGCCATGGAATTTGATATTCAAAGTATGCTTTCCAAACCTCCCGTTATCAATGGATTTGTGGAGGTCCTTCTCAATTCTGCCGATCCTCTTGTACTGAAAGCAACAATTTTTCTCTTGTCTGAGTTGGGTTCGAGAGACAACGGTGTAATCCATACACTTACAAGAGTTGATTCTGACGTGGACTGCATTGTGGCCCTCTTCAAGAAGGGTTTGCTGGAGGCTGTTGTTTTGATATATCTATTAAGGCCCCCTACCATGAACCTACTTGAGATGGACATGGTCGAATCCCTCCTAACAGCCATTAAGAATAAAGAGGATGATATGCTTAAGATGTGTTTAAAACCAAAAACAGCATCAGTGCTTTTATTGGAACAGATCCTTGGTAGCAGTGAAGATAGTATTATTTCTTCAATTGCCAACGCCATTATCTCAACAAAAGTGATCGAAAGTATTATTGACAGCTTGCAAGCTGAGCAGATGGAGAGAATTGCAGCTGTTGGGATCTTATTGAAATGCATGCTGGAGGATGGGAAATGCAGAAACACCGTTGCGGATAAAGCTGAGTTAGCCCCTGTTTTGGACAGCTTCATGAGTGCAAGTGATGGCGAGAGATTTGAGATTGTTCAGTTCCTCTATGAATTAGTCAAATTAAACAGGTAATTTTAACTCAAGTTTGCCTTTGTATGTGTAATCATTTGAATTTGATATCTTTGTGATAAATCTTTGAAGTATGCGGTCAAGAGAAAATTTTGATCTTAATTTTTCTATAGGAGGACATTCAATGAGCAAATTCTTCACATCATTAAGGATGAAGGAGAATTTTGTTCAATGCACATCTTCCTAAGTTATTTACAGGTTACTCTTCCAGATCAATCTCCTGTGGTGGCTGGTCTCCTGCTCCAACTTGATCTTCTGGTATGATGCCATCATTTTAAGTGATAAATATGCTGTCCTAGCTTCTTTGACCTAATGACAAATTTATTGGTGTCTACTCTGTAGGCTGAGCCAAGAAAGATGAGTATATATCGTGAAGAAGCAATAGAGAGCCTCATTTCAAGCCTCGGGAATTCTGAATTTCCTGCTGCTCAAAGAGCAGCTGCGGAGACGATTGTGTCATTGCAAGGGAGGTTCACTGTCTCTGGAAAGTCCCTAACCCGAGCTTTTCTTCTGAAACAAGCTGGACATGGACAAATTTACAAAAATCTTATGCGAATGGAGCAACTCGGCAAACTTTCTGGAGAAATTGAAGAAAACTTGGTAAGTTTTATGGAACTATTGAGCAACATTTCTTTATTTATTTCCATTTATCATTTAGGGCTGCGCATGCTTTTCCTCGGCAGTTGAAGACACCGTATCGTCCATGCTCTCTAGTTAGTCTAAATCATTTTACCACTTCAATTGCATCAATAGGAAGAAGAGAAGGCAGCTGAAGAATGGGAAAGAAAAATGGCCTTTGCTCTAGTAAGCTATGAGTTTGGTCTCCTCTTTGAAGCTTTAGCAGAAGGCTTGAGGAGTAGATGTGCAGAGTTACGTTCAGCATGCTTTGTGTCAGCAACTTGGCTTGTACATATGCTTGGCATTCTTCCAGACACGGGGATACGAGCAGCAGCTCGAGTTTGCTTTCTCAAGCACTTCATTGAAATATTCACGTCTTCGAAGGACATTGAAAACAAAGTCCTTTCATTGCTGGCTCTAAAAAGCTTCATCAAGGACCCTGGTATGCAGCAAGCTCTGGAACAAGACAGTTTGAATTCTTACTTATTTAGGTTCCTGCACTGAAACAATGCAAACACTCTTACCAGATACTTTAAAAAAAGGGGCTCAAAATTTTATGAATTATTTTGCATGTTTGGGACGTGCTAGCTGGTTGCAAGTCACTACAAAGAAGATTGTTAAACTGTCATTACAGAAGGCTAAGTTCTTATAGCATTATGGAAGAGAAATACTATAACTATCTTAAAAATGATTCCATTGGACGTTAAATAAATCACTGTAGAATTCAGATGCTGTGGGAAAACACTGATTTACTTTTGACAACGGTTTTGCGGAATTGTTTTATTTTAATCCATTGCTTCTGAAGTGCACGTATTGATGAACTTTAGAAACTTACATGCTTGAAATTCTGAATTACAGAGGGGCTGCATGACCTTTCTTCATCCATGAAAGATATTAAGAAAGATCTGAGAGAGCTTAGAAAAACTTCATCCTTGGCAGTTGAAATTCTGAAAGTTCTCTCAGCTGGCCATGACTCTAGTACTGCTGTAAGTTTGTCGATGCAGAAAGTTGAAAATATCTTAATTGTACATTCTTTGCTTTCTGTTTCTCTTCTCCTACTTGAAAAGAATAAAAAATAAATAAAGAGAACTAACTATCCGTGCTTGTTGGACAACAGGAATTATGGACTCATAATGAATTAGTTCAAGTAGATTGCAGTGAGAATGGAGAAGTGCTTTCAATTACTTTCTACAATGACATGATATTTTCTGGACATTCAGATGGAACTATAAAGGTACTTCATCAAACCAGGTTCATTTTCTTTCGGCATAAATATACAGAATCTAGATCATAACATGAAGATGGTGTGCATGTAAATATATCAGTAAGTGCATATCAGCACATTGTTTGATCTCAGTAATGACTGTAGAAATATGGTTCGGAACCAGATATATACATGCAAATGTGATATGAAGCATATTTTCATCTCAGCGATGACCTGGAATCAGACAGCGTATCCACAGTACAGTTGAATAACTTTAGAATAGACCTCAGGTTGTTGCAAGTATTCATCTGTAGTGCGGAAAGAAATGAAACGGCAATTCATTCCATTCCATAGAATCTGCCATAGTTTATATGCTTTGTCTCAATGGAGAGAGTGAATAACTTGTGTCCCCCTAGTTTTTCTAAACTACACGGTTAAACAGAATAGTAAGAGAGTCTAATACTAGTGCTTGGAGGAAGAATGTGATGTTTGTCAAAAAATAGATGAAATGATAATCTAATGACATTCTATTTTCTATTTCTGTAGGTTTGGACTGGCAAAGGTAGCATTCTTCATCTCATCCAAGAAATTCGAGAACACACCAAGGCTGTCACTAGCTTGGCATTCTTACAGCCGGGAGAAAAATTATACAGTGGTTCACTGGATAGAACTGCAAGGGTACGATGCTCTTATATCTCTGTAAATTTTGGTTAATGGAATAAAATTAGTTGATGGCTGTTACTCTAGATGAACATCAACCCAGAGACATTGTTGAAAGTTGAAACCAGCAAGACCTCATAAAATATTCATCCCTTGAATAAGTTAAACGGAGAGGAAAAAAAACAAGAAAAAAGCAACCTTCAGGCAAATAAATATGCCAGAAGGTGGTATTTCAAAATCTGCATGACAAAACTAGTTGCGATATATAACTTGCTTTCTTGCTCGTGTACTTGTCACCTCCAAAGAGCTTATCCTACAGTTACAGTTATTCACTCCAATTCTTAGCATCACAGATGTCCTTTTGGCCATTAAAGGGCTTTTACTTCAATGGGAGTCTGGTGCTGTATGCAAAATTTGCAAAGGTTGATTCGACTTCTAGGCTTGAAAGTTTCTTAATTGTGACGAACAGGTATGGTCTATTGGCAACGAATCTTTGACTTGTGTACAAGTACATGATATGAAGGACCAGGTTCATAATTTAGTGGTAGCCAATGGCATTTGTTGCTTCATTCCACAAGGAGCTGGTGTCAAGGTAACATATAAATGCTTCCATATTTTCTATTGCTTGATGTTTTCGTTTCTTCGTAATTAACTATGTTCAAATAGTAGACAGGATCTCCTGCCTTCTCTTTCTGATACTTTCTCTATTTGCTTCTAAGGCAGTGGCATCTATGTGCACCTAGAAACAGGATTCTTGTCAAAAAAGAGAAACTGAAAAACAGAGTACTGTTTTTTCTCAGGTTCACTCATGGAACGGAGGGTCCAAATTATTGAATCCACATAAATATGTAAAGTGCTTGTCTCTAGTACATGGAAAACTATACTGTGGATGCCAAGATAGTAGTATTCAGGTATCAGAACTTGAGCAGACTATTATCTCCATTAATACATCCCAAGTTCTGATATCTATCCTTTTCAGTGATAAATGTAAAGGTATTTTGGTTTTCAGGAAATTGATTTGACAACAGGAACACTTGCTACCATTCAACATGGATCTAGAAAACTGCTAGGAAAAACAAATCCAATCCATGCACTTCAAGTTCAAAATGGACTGATTTATTCAGCCAGCTCACCCTTTGATGGAGCAGCAGTGAAGGTATCTCTCTTTCAAAAAGACGAACAGAAGTAAAAAAATTGCCCCTTTTACCAAATTTCTGGCTTCTCCCATGCTCCTACACTTGCACATCATCAGATTAAATGTTTTATTTTTATTATACTAACTGTATGTAACTTTCTTTGCTGGCAAAGATTTGGAATGCATCCAATTTTGGTCTGGTTGGCTCACTACCTTCTATACTCGAAGTGAGGTCTATGGCCATAAGCTCAGATCTCATTTACGTGGGCTGTAAGGCAGGAACTGTTGAGATTTGGGATAGAAAGAAACAACAAAATAGAGTTGAAATACTACAGACAGGTACAAATGATAAGGTTCTTTGCATGGCTATGAATGCCAACGAAGATGTGTTGGTGATTGGCACTTCAACTGGCCAGATTCAGGTAAAATTCACAAGTACAACACAGTAATATTGCAAGGTCAGGCTCTTGTTTACTTTCTATTGTAAGAATTAAACCTACTTATTGTTTTGCAGGCATGGGGTCTTAGCTAGAAATGGAGGATGCTATATATTATTTACAAATGACAATTTTTCACCAAAACAAAACGAACGACCAAGAACTTAATTATTTGAAAATTCTTTCGCATGATTCAAATAAACTCCTCCATTTGAGAATTATTCTTGCCACTGTATATAGCTCGAAGAGTAACAGATTTCCTTTTTCCTAACTGAAGATGTCCCTAAAATCTAAGGTGTATATTAGCAGGGTTTGAATATCGATAATCAGTTAATTAATTGATTATTAAAAAAAATTATTTATATAGTTGATATTTTATATTTTATATTTTATATTTGTTATTTAGTAGTCTCCTTATACTTGATATTTGTTATCTAGTAGTCTCACGTGTCTTGTAACTAGTATATATATATAAAAAAAAAATTATGGATATATGAATTTTTAAATATTTAAATAAATATTTTTTTTATAGAGATAAAATATAATAACATTAATGAAGATTCTAACATTTATTTTGAATGATTCATGATATATATATAACTCATTAATCTTATCTTTTTATAAAAAGAATCGACTAGAGTGTAACTCTATATTTATAATATTTTTGAGTTTTATTATAAGTTGAATTTCACTCATTTTGTCCAGTAAAAAAATAAAGATACCGTAGATCATGAAAGATTTTAATACACCTAATGATATTGGAGGAGTGTAGATTTGTTTAATTAAACTTATTTGTTGAGAAATATATCCTCTAAGATTTTATATAAAATCTATAAAATTAATAACATTAGATTCATGTATTATATTTGAATTCATGAGTGTAGCAAATCCGGCCACACTCGAGGTGCGGTGACAAAAATCTTAACACACATTAGACCAAGTTATTAGGCCTGATAATACTTAACCCAAACGGTACCAAGCTAAAGCGCTAGGTTGGCAGCATTTGCCAAACCCACGTGTTGGGTCTAGCACATGATACCAGAACCATAAGGTGTTTGGGTCTAATAGGCTCTAGACCTAGTATTATTTGAGTCTAGCGTTGGCCTGACTCATCAATTACTTGGGCTTGGATAGTGCTAGAACTAGTGCGTCTAAATGAAGACGCATTTGATAATAGCACGTGTCAGCTCAATGCATCTAAGAGTGCAAGAAAATTATACCCATATATTTTTCTTGATTTGATATTTTTTGAAAAAGTGATATAAAAATATGTTTATAAAATCTTGTTTCTTCACAACCCAATGCAGCCTATGGATTGATAGTGCCCATTTGCGGTATTGTTACTTCTATATCAAGAATGTGGAAAAGGGTAATATTAAGGGGAAAAGGCAGAACATTTATTTTTTATTTATTTTTTCTTTACCTTTATTTATATCTCTCTGTGTTTCTATTTTCAGTTATTGGAGAATCACTTGAGTCAGAACAAGCTTTTTTTTTCAATGATAAAATTACCTAGAAAGAACTTTAGTGCTTTGGAACAAAGTTGTTAAAAATATTTTTTTGATATAATATAAATTTGGATTGTAAACTTCGATCATAAAATTATAAATAATTTTTGTAATTAATTATATACTAATAATTCTAGTTAAAAAATTAAATTACATTAAAATTTGATAAAAATAAGTCAATAATATTATAATCAATGAGTGATCTAAATAAAATAAGAGAGATAGTATAAATCAATAAATTAATAACATGGAGAAATAAAAGTCTCAGAACAAAATTTTTCAATATAAAGGAATCACTGAAAGGTAAGAAACATACATAAACCTAGTGACAACCTCGTTGTTCCCGTCATAATAAGTCTTGATAGACCCCTTTTGATTGCAAGATAATGAGTTTAAATTAATAATTAACTAATATAAATTTAATAATAAAATAAACCCTTAAATAATGTCTAATACACTAGAAAAAATTCAAATTAAAAATAATTATTTAAAATTAAATAAAAAATAGAATAAAAAAATATTTTTAATAAAATTCCTCCATATAGCCTAAATCTTTGATTTTTGTATATTATTGGTAGAATTGAGTCCTAATTTCACACATGTCATTCTCTTCTGATTTCAAACATATTGTTCACTCTTATTTGAATGAATTGTTAGGTCTGCAATATATAGTTAAAAAGTTTCAGATGTATAATTTTTATCGTAACTTTAATCGAAGTAAAATTTCATCAGTAGATCTAAATATGTTCCAAACAGTACACGAAGGTCTTGTTTGACATATTTGACAATATTAGTTTACTAAATTTGATTCTCTAAAATATTACATTGCCTAACTCTATTTAACCTGAAAATTTACCACAATATATGTTTATGTATCTAATATTCTCCTATAACATTTCACCTTTATCCAATTTACAGCTTCAAATATATGTTCAATCTCAAAAAATTAGTCAACAGACATTTAAATGTCAAATTTGAACCTAACTTGATTCATATCATAAATTTAGTAAACTTATAAAATCAAACTGAGTTTACTAATTTTACAGATTTTTCTCGAGTTAAGTTTGATTTAGCATGTTAGACATATGTTAACTCGTAAAATCATAAAATTTTACGAGTTAACTCGTGATTTTAACAACCTTGCTGTAGAGTACTCATCCCTCGTTACTTTATACATGTAATAAATCACAATCATACATTTAAAATTGATGTGATTTTAGTTTTTAGTTTTATTTTAGTTTTTAGTTCTTTCAAAATCATATAAACCATTTCAACTTTAAACATTGTTAACGAAGAATACAAGACTCAATTTAAATAAAAAGTAATGGTATTGTATTTGGAGTTATTTATAATATCTATATAAAAGTAAATAAGTTGATTAATAGTGATAACATTTATATTTTCAATTTATACAATGCCTTTCCTTTGAAACTCCAATTTCTAATAATATATTGATTGTTTGTTTTAGTGTTATAATTTGATTTTAAAATATTTTTTAATTTTGTTTATTTAAAAAGACATCAAGTTGATTTTCTTAGGTGTTATTTTGATAGTTTTGATTTACGAATATCAAAATAGAAAAAAAATTAAAAATATATTATTTTAATATTTTTTTAAATGAAAATCACATTGCATCACAATACTAAACACACAATAACAACTCTTCTAAGGCACACACACACACACACACACACACACACATATATATATATACTAAGAAAAACATCATAAACAAAACTGGAAAAATAATAAATGTTATATACCAAAGAAAAAAAATTATAAATCAAGTAGGAAAGTATTGTAAATCCTGAATAGTAATTGTTTAGTGTTATTTGAAGGTCTTTTATAAAAATTTAATTCAATAGAAAATAAAGTCTTTAAAATCTTATGGAAAAAAAATCAATTCAAGTTAACACTAAATTATACTCATCAACATTATATTACATGTTAGGAAAAAATCTCATGCATCAACATCAAAGTAAAAGAAATGATGAAAAAAATAAATGAAAATTCATTTGAAAACCAAACAAGGATAGAGGATCAATTTTCAAAACCCAAAAAAAATTCAAATATGTGATCCAAAACATTTATGTTCTTGAACCCTCAACCATTTAGAATTATGTTACACTTATAAAGATAATTGGATTATGAAATACTTTTAATTGATGGTTTTTTTCTATTTAAATATCTTTGTTGATTTATTTTTTTCTTGTAAGGTACTTATGATCATAAATTTTGATCAATTAACTACCTTTATAAGCTTATGTCATAAATCAACTAACATGATATATTTCTTCATAGAATGTGGATAGTGTGTTAGAAATAAATATTTTTTTTTCAATTTTCATAATTCATTTTTTCTCATCAAGAAATTATAAAGAAATAAAAATAACAAAAACTTAAAAAAAAATTGAATTAATTAATTAATTAAGTGAATTTATATTTGTGTTGCTCATTAGTTATGGTTTATAAGCTCGTATGTTTGTAAATATAAGATTACCTAACTAATCAATTAATTTTATTTTTAAGTTTTTTTTATTTTTTTAATTTATTGATGGAAAACCAGAAAAAAACTAAAAATATGAAAAAAAAAATTGTAATCAAAGAAAACTATCATAATAATTGATTGGTAGTAGAAGTTATTAGAAGTACTTGATTGATCAAATTTTAAGAGTAAAAATACTCTTATAATAATTGAATTGTGGAAATTGATGTATTCTATTATGGTGATATGATGAGATGGATAAAGTCTATGACAATTAGATCCTATGGATATAATGATTGCAATGTCTTAATAGTTGTGTTATCAGTAACTTGGTATTGGTGTTTTAGGGAAAACTCTACTGGAATTGCGGTAAAATATACAAAAATATATTCTTAGGCTTTTCACCTAATAAAAATGCCAATTATCTTGAAATTATATTTAAAATTTAAGGTTATTATAGTTGGTATCAGAAGCCTGGTTTGGGTTTAGTGGATTTGTAATGGATATTGCTAAATGATGAGTTGTTCTGAGATGTTCAGATCCATCTCCGGTATGGAAGAGAATTCAAGATACAAATACAAACGATAGATAAAAGGAAGACCCCTTAGCACATACTACTTCTCGTATGCTAGCACCATCATTTCAATCCAGATATGGAAGGTCATCTAGACTCCAAGATTATATAGCATTCAGACAACCTAGAGTATCACGGCTAAAATGTTCAAACTATTAGGGCTGGATAACTATTCCCCTGCCAATAACATCTACGGAGACCCTTACTCCTCATGTTGACTCTGTTTTTATAAAACATATTATTAGAGTAGTAATTGCTGGCATGTTTAGTGCAACAACCTCAAGAGCCCCTACAACTCCAACACATACAAACAATATGGTCACTTTAGTCTTGATAGTTAAGAATATGAGAGAAACGGGTTATAACCTTATTCGGAGGAACAGAATGCAAAGACTGTATGATTATAGATTCAAAAAGTAAAGAAGACCTTGAATCATATTAGAATGCCAAAGGGATTACAAATGGGTTGTGCCACCTAATTGTTTTTGGATAGAGTGCAGTCTTGATGGGAGAATGTATTATTAAGGAGAGCTACTGAGGAGTTATCTTGGGGTGACTTTAAAATGGAATTTAAAAACAAATTTTACTTTAGATACCATCGTAAGGTAAAAAAGTAAGAGTCTTTGGCTCTAAAGCAAGGATAGATGTTCGTGT